CAATATGTTTTGCTGCCTGTAAAGGTATCTTTCCCTCTGTCCCATTTGTAAACATGATATTTACTTTACCAGCCTGTAGACTACTTTGGATCTGCCAAAAAAAAATCACAAGTTATTTTGGGGAGAAAAAAAAAAAAAGAATCGTTTACCTTTTTGCCCGAAGAGGTTAAATGAAGAGCACAACAGCTGAGCTCTGGAGCACGTTCTTGTGAATACTGTTTTATAAAAAAACTCTCTAGTGGGAAAGTTCAGCCTCTAACCAATTGTTGATGATAGCAGCATGTCGCAATTTAACGCAAATGTCGTCAGCCTGAAGCTTCCTGAAGAAGACTGAGAAACCTATATCTAGCAAGATGCTAATAGTATTTCTCTCAAAGCTGCCCGACAAGTTTGGCAGGCAATATCTGCTGGCAACATCTCCTGATTGCAATGCCAAGCCACCCTCAGCCAGAGAACTGGGCATTAACCCTGGAGATCCATGGCTGTACTGCTGTGCGAAGTCCCTTTCAAAGTTGACGGGGTCTGACCCGACACAGGGGCGTGCAGGGTTCAGGATTCGGAGAAGCCGTGTCTGGAGCTGAGCTTGCTTGCAGAGATAGAGCAAATGAATGGGGAATGTATGAGCTCTATGTTGCCTGCAGCCATCTCTCTCTCTCAGGCAAGGAGTCAGCTTTATGTGTATGGAAGGAGCTTAATTAGAGAGGGGAAGCAGTATTTCCTTGAACTGTAACAGGAATCCCCAGCCAGGGGGTATTCTTTTAAATCATTGGAGTTAGGAATAAAAGAAGGCCAGGAGTGGTTGATCACTTAGGTTATGTCTCTGGCATAAAGTGAGGTGGAAGTAAAGAGATGGGAAGCACGGCGCTGCACCAGCACAGTGTTTGATCTCCCCTAATCAGCAGTATTGAGCTCAGGTGCAACGCTGGGTTATGGCAGCTGGACTGAGGGGTCAAAATGAAGTCCTCTAGGGTTGTACGTGGCTTTTCAACCCTGAAAATTTTCTGTCTTTCCTTTCTCACCTCTTCTTTCTTCCTACAAAGCATAAAACTGGCTTTGGATTCATAGGATATTTGAGGGATCAGACATGGTGAGGGGAGAAAGGAGGAAAGAGGAAGGTGGTCTCCCAGCACCATCTTGCCCTTCCCACACTTCTCTTCTAGTGCTGAAGCCGGGCCACCCTCTTCCTCAGGCGCAGGTCCCACCAGCTTTGCTGTTCCCTGCTCCTCTGCCGAGGTCTCAGCCCAGCTGCCAAAGCTCCGGTGCGCCAGTGCCCATCAGAAAAGAAGGATTTGTAAACAATGCAAGATACAATGATAAAATGAGTGTTCTCGTTATCCCTATTCTTCTCCTCACTTTTTTTCTTCATTTTGCCATTCACTTCTTTGTTTCTGTTTTTCCTTCCTGCATGTTTCTGCAGTGCTCCTTAGTCTTCCTCCTGTTTTTTAAATCTATTTCTGCACATTGCCTTACCATGTTTCTTTTCTTCTTCTGCCTTTATGAGTCCTAGCCTCTCTTCAGTGACAGTCTAAGTATTTCCGAGTACTTTCAAGACTTTCCTTCTTCCAATCTCTGTGCTTTCTCCCTCCTTCCTATATTGACATTGTTCCTCCACTGATTTATTTTACTTGCTCTGTACACATATTTCCTCAGAACTTCCTTGACATCTGTTCAACTGCTTTGCCTCAGGAAATGTCAATGTATGTGCAAATTCTGTCTTTTCTAGGCCCTAAGGATAGTATATTCAGGGTACAAAACTGTACTGCTTTTCCAGTGGGGTCAATTTGCTCTATGTAGCATTTTTCAAGTTTCAAAACCAAACTGCTCTTCCCCACAAACAACTTTTGTTACCACAAGACATTAAGATGTATCCCTTCTTATAAGATGCTGGGAGCAGGAAGTGGGCGATGACTGTGCAGCTGAGCAAGTGATGAGATGACGAGACACATAACACTGCAGTTTGCAACTGCTTGCAAAAGCCAGCCACAGCCTGCTTTTTTCCACCAGGGCCATCACCCAGCACTGGATAGTAATGCTCTGTTGAAAGGTGAGGTGGAGCATCTTAGTGATCTGAGTAAGTCCTCAGCTATGTTCACTTTCTCCATCGTAACCGATGCCTTTCAGCACATAAGTTTTCCTATACACAAGCTCCCACACACGTTTTCCCATGTCATCCCATGCAATTTCTTGCCCAAGGCCCAGAGGACAGCATGGGTGGAACCAAACAATAGACCATAACAGTGTTTCTCACACCAACAGGAATCTTACTGGTACTTCTCCCTCACATGCCGTAAGACGGATAGGTTTCATAGTGAGGCTGGTAGAGAGAAGAGGCAGAAGTGAAGAATGAACCTGAGCTTTTCATGGGCATGCTACCCTGTTTATAAATGATGGATAAAAGGGTTTGCCTTCTGTAGACTAAGGCAGCTTTGTATCTCCAACATCTGCTTGCCTTGCATAGGCTAGGATACCTTGGTATTAGTCAGGAGGTGGGGAAAGATGGGCCCCACCCTGAGGCACTGTTTCTCTCTGATTTCATGGGATAACCCTTCCTTGGCAAAGCTGTCATGAGGAACTCTGAGAAGACATGTAAATTTGTGTGGACGTGCTAAGTGCTCTGATCAGGATTTAAACAGGGTATGACCTCCATTGAATGAAGACTGACTCCTGGACTGGAATGTTTTCAGAACCTGAAAAAGCTCAGAGAGTGATGTCTGAGCTTTTCTCCTTCAGGAAATCTCATCCAGGCATAAAAAGAGGGATGGGGCAATTTGCCAGAGGTTTTCATCAGTGTAGGAGACCAGCACAGATGTAGCAATAAGTGTGGTATGGCCTGCTGGACAACTGGAACTACCTGACCAGAGTCAGTGCCTGAACACAAACAGACTGTACAAGCTATAGGCAACTAGTCCACCTTGCCTCCATGGGGACTGCCTGTGCAGCTGCTTAGTCAGTCGTCTGCCCCATGCGCAATGCCCTGACCCACCTCCTGCAGGAGAACCAGTAGAAACCACAGTGACAACAGCTCTGGATAACTGTGACCCTAGCCTCCAAAAGAGATCAGACAATGATGGGGTGTATAAAACACTTCCCAGTCATTCAGCTAGCACTGAAGTTACTGAGCTGGTAAAGACCTTTGCAGGCAATTGCTTCTCAGACAGGATGGGCTGCAAAGTAATTGTTATATTTTGCATTCTTCTTCTGACTACTATCCATGTATCAGGACACTTGATACGTATCAGCAAAGACCCCTAGAGGTCTGCAGGGTCTCACCCCCCATTGTTTTTGTTGGAAGTTAGTCCCCTGAGCACCTTCAAAGATATGGGCCAATGACTCCAGTTAACCCTCTGGTATTAAAACGTGTTAGAGACCATTAAAGGTCCACAGAGGGAAGGAAACTGGTAAAACCACTAAATCATTGTGACTAAAGGCTTTTTGTGGATTGGCAAGGTCAAGAATCAAAACAGAATTCCTGTCCCCACAATAACCACCATACAAATAACCACTCTATTGTTAGAAAAGAAGTATGTATATTAGGGGTTGCACGTTCCCATTTAAAAATCTCTTTCCAGTTTCTTTCACACCCAAAGCACTAGGAGGAATTCTTAAGTAAAATGCTCCCATTTTTTGAGGATACATAATTGAACTCTCTGTATATTGTGACCAGCTAGTAACATAGTCCTTACTGGGAACTATCATCACACGTGGTCCAGAGGGGCAATCCAGATATTGATTTATTTTTTTATTTTGACTTTGTGGCCTAAGTGAATCTGTTCATTCCCATCCCTATCATTTATTGGAGGTCAAGAGTGAACACTGACACTGTCAGTGAACACATGAGTGAAAACACAGACTGACACTGGAGGTATTGCAGACATTTAACACTGGTTTTATAGTGCTTTATTCTGAACAGTAATTAGGTAAACCAGTACTAAACATATGCAGCAGGCAGTCTTTAGATAGAAATGAAATCTGATTACCATGATTTCATATGGAATTTGGAGACTGGTAATTACAATGTTAATCTCACTCAAGGTGAAGTCCTTATTTCTTTCTCATGCCTCAGTTGTTAAGTAATTGCATGGAGTCTCCTTAATGCTGAATCCAGAACTAGAAATGGCAGATAATCTGTGCATGAAAAGTGTGGCACTTCCAGTATTAATCCAAATGTTTTCTCTCCTAGAATTGCATAATATTCTTTTACTCAGGATATATACAACAGGGCTCCTCGTAGCTGCAGTGAACTGGTCCCCTCTTCTATGTCTGAAGGGCAATGAGTCAAAAAATCCCACGCAGCCGAGTCCAACCTCCCCAATCTACAAACTGCTGTAGCTCACGCTGAAGCGTCTTCTGGGTGTACGTTTTGCCACCATGATTGTTGCCTCTTGCATCCATAGGTCTCAGTGCAGCTGTGGTTTCACAGATGCAAATTCTGATGCTAGCTTGAAGTGCCTAACTACGCTGCAGAACTTGGGCGCTGCTTCACTGGGCATTGGCAGGGTCCGGCAGGGCACCTTGGACCACCAGAGTGTAGCCAGGTACAAGGGGAGGGCTGTCACACCACATGTCCACATCTTCCCCTTCTAGGCAGTAAGAATCCACAGAGCATGGGTCACAAGGGAGAGTGGTTTGGCTAGGGAGCAGGGATGTAGCTCTTCCTCCCAGAGCCCTTTCCAACTCCTGGCCTATCTAAAACAGGCTCTCAGTTCACTTTGTTTTGGGAAAAAGATGTCACAGAGAAACAAAATATACTTGCTGCTGAGGCTGGGATACTTCTCAGTAAAATACGGTGTGTTCTTCACAGTGGGAATCCTTCAGCTTAAGGGGATGAAACATAAGGAGATAAACTAGTTCTGCTGCATATGTAGAGTACATTGTATTACCCAGCTGATATATGAAACTCTTAGATTTCCTTTCAAAGGTGATAGTCAGGATGCCAAGCTTTACAGGAACATGCACCACCATAAATGTAACTGTGCTTTTTCATAATGAAGATGCCCTGCTTAAGGGGAACAGAATCGGCCTGAAAGGATCACATTGCGAGTTTTGTTGTGCCTAAACAAAAAGATAAATGGATGGTCAGCTTTAAATTCATCTTTGTGTTGCAGAATCCGATATCCTGGTACCTCTCGGGATTCGCCACCTTGTTCGTTTACTTCCAAAGAGACTTTATGGATGATCTTTGACAAAACCACACCTTTTGTCTCACACATCTCAGAGAAATCTGATGCACTCTCATTGAAGACATTTGTCATTCCCAAGCTTTCCAGAAGTGGCTTCAGGTCATAATCACCTTCCACGCTAAACTTTGGAAGAAATACATTCACTTTGGTGTTGGCCATCATGCTGGGATTGGTCCACTGTAATAATGTTTCAGGGGTGAGTGCCTTTTCCAGCTGAAGACATAAATGAACAAAGGAAATTAATGAGCAGTCCAAGAAAAGAGGGAGAGAAAAAAAGACCATTTCTGAACTTCCCACTCCTATCTAGCCCCCAAAAAATGAAGTCCAAAAGGCATGCGTTTGAATACACACCTGTAGCATTCAGGGTTAAAATACTCTAGATTATATTGATGCAAGTATGACTTAATCCATAGGACAGGTCTCTGGAGCAACTTCACTGTATGTGCATGCTCTATTAGCCCCTCAGCAGCTTTTGACAGGCAATCAACTCAACAACCATATGAAGGAACCTGAGAAAGACAGTCCCTACCCAGGTTACACCCGGCCAGCTGGCAGATCCAAAAGTCTTGATTCCTGACCCTACAGAGTAACGAAATTGCTGGTACTTGGGACAGAAAAAGACTCCAAATCCAGAGCCTGATCTCATTCAAACATGCAGCTGTTTGGGCAATTTTTTTAAAACTGGGAAGTGAGGAGGCAGAATTTGGAGCCACAGCAAACTGGTATCAGGAAAGGCCTCACTTGCATTTTAAGATATGTGTATTCTGTAATTTACTCCTACATATAAAAGTACCTTACAGCTGCAAAGGCAGATTCCTCCTGCCTTTAAAATTTATGGCCAGTTGCAGCAAATTACAAAGGAGACTTGCATAATCCTCCATCTCTTAATCCTTAAACTTTGAAGAGACGTCAAAATATGTTCTAAAATTTTCTTTGAGAAATGACATAAGAAATAGTTGTTCTTTAGGAAATGCCTTATTTATTGTGCAATTGCAATAAAAAATGGCTCATTTTCAGGCACCTCTGCTCAAAATTAAAACTTAGAGAAGTGTAAGACCTTAGTAAAATAAATCATGGATACATGTCAACTGAAAAAAATGAGGACACCAGAGCAAATAATGCTAGCACTATTGAGTACCCAGTAAGTATGACTTCAAGCACGTTACTACAGCAAGAACAAAAATCTTAAGATGAAAATTATTTTGGGGCTCCAGATTTTCAAATCGATGCAGATTGCTAAAGCGCACCATGGGCACTTTCTGCACTTTACACTGTCTTCTATGCACACCCTATCTAAAACAAAGTCTTGTTCACAACCTCACACTTGGCCACAGCAGAAACAATGATGTCACAAATATGAGATCAGCAACAGCGAAGCAGAATGAGAAGGTAAATTCACAGGAAACTTGCTTTTTGTTTCCTTCTATGTAGCGTCTAAATAACAAAAACATTCCACAAGCATATGGCATTATAAGCAGGCTGTTTCCAAGCGAAGCATCATACCAGTTCTATTTTTTTCTCTCACCTGCTCCAAGCCAGTGGTCTCATCTTCAATCTCTTTAGGCAGCAGAATGAGCATGCTTATATGTTTGTTAAGGCATGGAAGCTCAAGGATGGCGACATTTAATTCTTTTACGTAGCCCAGGCAAAATGTAGCTTCCAGATTCATCATTTGCACTGGTTTAGTTTCAGTCTGCAAAACACAGAGGCAATAATCTAGCATTCCTTTTAACTCACAAATAAGATGGCGAGAGAGGAAAGTTTGTAAGCTTGCATGGAAGTCATACATTGAGTTACCATCAGATAATTTGTTGGCTTTCATAGGTAATGAAACCAGCTGTAAGAAACCCTGTTGGCTTTTTAAAGTAGGCAGTTTTCCAAAGAAAAATGGAACTGAGTTCTACTTAATATAATAAGAACTTATTCTACTATAATATCTTGGGGATGTGCCTTAAAAGAGAATTTTACCTAATATTGGTGACCCTTTGTGCCTGTTCCACTGAGTGCTACAAACTATACTGTCTACAGCGCATTGTAATGCCAGTAAGTGTCAAGCACTGTGCATATCTCAACAGTGAAGGTCAACTTGTTCATACAAACAATTGGTATTTTGGTTCATGAGCTGAAACAGAATAAGAAGAAATTTCAGGCCTATCTAAAGCCCTATGTCTTTGCTTTTCATCAATGAAACAAAACAAAACTATTTCATAGGGCAGGTTTACAAACTGTTCTGTTCACCTGGAAACTCATTTAAAATTCAAATTCATTAGAAAAACGTTACTTCAGAAAAAAAAACTTGAAGTTTTTCACCTAAAAATTTAGTGTTGATTGTATGATTTTAGAAACTTTTTTAGCTGAAACTGTTGGCTGATGTGATAATTCATGAATATTTTCAGCTAAGCAGGGCTGATCTGTGGAGGGCTGCAGTCCTGAGCCTGACCGGGAAGAGGGACGCTGATGGGGCACCATCCGTGAAGAGGAAAGCACGGGGCCAGACACCTGAGGGGTACACTCAAAGAGACCCCACGGGTGCAGATGTTCCACTAGCTCTGTGACCACGAGAAATGCAATGTTTTGTGCTTCACCCTTGCTGGTTTTGGGATGCAGCCTCTGGTACGGGTTGCAATCTCTTGGAAGAAGCTACCCATGAGAATGTGCATCTCCGTGTAGGCAATGGCTGCTTCTGACCACTTGTACTCAGCTCCTGTTGTCTAAATATACTAACGGGACAGTCTGTTTTCACACTGGGCCCTTGAAAGATGGATGTGAAAGCACCAGCAAAGTTTTAAAACAACACGACAAAGCAAACTCGTTTAGGGACCCTTGCAACACGTTGTAAGTTTAGACAGACTAAGAATGCCATGGCAATAATAACCATCTCTCATTTTCTCTTGTTGGGATTGCCTTACCTCAAAGTTTGCATTTGCTTGAGTGGAAACAGTACTCTATTTTTTTTTCAGAACATACCTTGTTGACTTTAAAAGGACATTCTTTGATCTCTGCCTCTGAGAACTTCTTCATCCAGTTTGTGACAAAATAAGCTGCGTTAACTAGGACGATCTGAGTCTGGTCACTTACACTATCCTCATTCAAAATATTCTCCATTTTGCCTGTGAACAAGTTTAAGATGGTTGTCAATACAATACATTATCAGTATATCAATTGCTTCAACTGAATACGGAAACATTTCACTGAATCAAAACCTGTACCTCACAGATAACTGATTTTAATTCTAATGGAAAATTCCGAAAAGAAGCTTTTACTTAAAATTGCAGCTTAATGTTTGAAATGGGATTTGGGATCAAGACAGATATTCCAAAAGACATTTTCTTGGCTTATATAGCATGGAATCAAAAACATGTCTACTGCTTTTGTTTAGTACCTTAAAGAAGGTACTGAATTTTCAGTGAAATTCAACAGGTCTAAGCAAAAAAACATTTGTCATTCAGAGAACAAGACCTGAAGGGAAGTTCCAGATCAGCAGCTACTCATTTCGTGACCGATACGGGCGAATAGAACAACCAGAATGACAAAAAATGCTGCTCTGATCACAGTTCATACCCAAACACTGCTACTGACTTCAGAAAGAATACGGACATGTTGTGCGTGTCCCCTTGCTCTGTTTGAGACCCGTTCAGGCTCTGCCGTAACAGATGCTGCATTCCAAGCGCTGGGGAGGCAAGCCCTGCCTTCCTGCACGAATTGGCGCAGGCGGGGCAAGGTGCCTCCACACGGGCACCTGTGCCAGCCCGGGAAGGACCAGAGTCACGCACCCATCTTTTTGCATTTGCACCACGCGAGGGCAACAGGCGGCAACCGCCCCCCGAGCTACGGCTGCAGGCGGGCTGCGTCACGGGCGCTGCGTGCTGGCGTGGGCCCGGGACGGACCTCTG